CGTTAAGGAATAAAGAATTCGTCATGGTAGTCAAGTAATGAACAGTTGACATGCCTTTTCAGCTGCCAAACTGATTAGGCTCGAGGACTTTAGTGACATCAAGGAGAACCCATTTTGCTACGAACGATTCAAGAACCTTAACAAGTATAGAAGTCAATGACATAGGTCGTATAGAAGCTGGTACATGGTGTTTTTTTTCGGGATTGGGGAAATATAGGCCTGTTTCCATTGTCCAGGGACGACGCCTTCCTCAAGGGACGAGTTGTAAATGTGGGTAAGTACTTCAGCAAACTCTGCAGCGAAACATTTCACAATTTTAGGGGATAGGTCATCAGGGCCACTACTTTTATTCGCTTCGAGTCGTCTAAGTGTTTCAATGACTTCCCATTCATAACCACGAGGGGGCTCCGACGGCGACGGGAGGTAAGCTGGTAATGACTCTATGTCAAGGGGATCTAATTCGTTATCAATAGTGGAGAAATGGCTGTTTATCAAGTCAGCCATGTCTCCATCATTCAGATTGGCAAAGTCAGGGGGAGAAATCTGTACTGGGGGTTTTCGACAGTTTAAGATTTGGCGCAGACATCGGTGCCAGTCGGCTGGGTTCTCTTTTTTGAGATACTGAACTTTGGAAACATAGTGTCGTTTCTTAGCTTTAAGGGATAGGTGGATGACTTTGTTTCTAAGACTCCTATATATATTGACATGTTTCCCAAATGAAAAGCCCTTTGGCGTTTCTTGATGGTAGCTTCCATGGTTTGTCACTATTGTGCTTAATCACTGATTTATGAGGAAAATGGGTATCAATTGCTGTTTGTAGTATTTTGTAGAATACGTCGACCTTATTTTGAGTGTTTTGGGCGGTCAGGACCTCATCCCATGTATAGGTTGAAATCCACCTGCCAAATGAACGAATATTCGAGTCCTTCATAGGGCGAAAGGTAAATTTTGACTTGGTGTTGGTAGACGTATGGTTTTTAGGGCGCCACATGTTCCAGTCGGGATGTCGTCCTCGAAAACCCCGCGGCATAAGCGGAGGCGGAGCCCTCAAGGCGTCAGCGAATGATGTTCCATTGCGGACTCTGGCTTGGCGTTTACCGTTCAGGAAGACTATGAAGTTCTTTGCAAGTTGATTCGTTCCTTGTCTATTTAGGTGGACTCCGTCGAGGCAAATGCGGTGCAGTCCGATGTTGTTGTTGTCGATGAAATGCCAGCCGTTCTTGTCGCACATTTGCTGCATGCCTAGGTTGACTTGGCGGGTCCATTCTAGGCCACCATTGGCCCGCATGGTTACACCTGACACCGCGACGTTTTTCGCGCCAGATCGTTGAAGTGTCGATGCCCGATGCCAGGTGAAAGGCTCTTCGCGTTACCACGTGAGTTGGCTAGTTGTTGTTTGTTCCTGCGTGGACAATAACAGTGCTGGAGGGCTCGTTCCGGACAATCCTCTGAGCAGGTGCAGTCAGCTGTCCCAGGCGCGCTCCGCGGTGGGTGTAACATTTGACGTTACCCCTTCTTGACATTTTCTTACTTTTAAGATGTTTGATCATGGAATCACCGATGGTGGCAGTTTTATCCTGTGTCGTGGTGTTCTAGAACTTGGTTCTTTGGTGCTTCCTGTACATTCCGATTTGTTGATTCCGATTTTTTGAGAAATCGGACATTCTTGAGCTTCTTGTTGGGACATTTCACGTTCGTTAGGGGAATCGATATCAACATCAATATCAACACTGACGGGGGTGGACAGTGGGGAGAACCTGTTTGAAGTTCTAATCACTTCTTGTGGAGGTTTGTTGACTCTCGTACATCTTTTCTCGGCCGTTCTCCAATCGTCAGGCTTTTGTTGTTGTGACAATTCCTCAATAATCCTCAGAAGGGAGGCATTTTCGTCGCGAAACCGTTGTACTTGCACAACAAGATATTCATTCTCGCTGCGCACGTTTGAGTTACAGTTCCTGTCCTTTTTCATGGTCTTTATGTCTGCCTGCATCTGTTGTACTGTGCTTGCTAGGCTCTTTACCGATTCGGGGATTAGTTTGCACAATTCACATATTCCGTGGGTGAATTCGTCTCGATCTCGGGAAGAGGACGTATCACACAAAAGACACGGGTTCGTAGGATGTTCTGTACTGTCTGTTTGTTTTGTTAGCTTCTCGATCTCAGGCATGTCACCAGCTGTAGCAGTGTACGTTCCAAGGTCATTGTTTTCACATACCTGACTGGACATTCCTGGATCGAGGCTTGAACGTACACAATCCCTCAGCTCTTTGCTCAAGTCGCCATGCTTGATAAAGTTAAACAGAGCTATTATATCCTTAATTACAGTGAAACGTTGTGTGGTGTTTTTATTCCGTCTCACTAACCTTCCGTCTGCAAAGCTGTCGGGTTTGTTTGGAAGACTTTCGTACTGCGCAAACAGCTCATGGTGGAATTCTTTCAGCGCTTCCAAGACTGGTGGAGTGTTACTGTAAGATAACTCTCCGATCCATCCTATCGACCTGCCAGGGTGGGTTGTTTTGGTGTGGTTCAAAAAGAGAAAGCCTTTTGAGGATCCTGGTCTTCATATCCGGGAATCCGGGTGTAGAACTGGCCATCTTGTGGCGTACTGGCGTCCCCAAGCGGCAGAGAAAGGGCTCTCACGGTAAATGGAGACTCGCCGCCCTCCCACACAGGTAAGTTGAGTAGACAGAATCAAACGAATTCTGTCAAATCGGACGGCAAAGTGTACCAATTTCTGGTCAAAATGTTCTTGTATGTCTCGGCGACACTTTCAAACAAAGATTGAGGGTGGATGCAGGCTGTTGGCCTCAGAAAAGCTCTCAAACTGGCAACAGGTATTCAAGCGCGTCTGGTTCGGTCCACCATCTTGGAATGATGTATTGTCCAGGAAACTTTTTGTATCTACAGAAAAGTGTTGTTTTTTATGTGTTGCAATGCACGGAGGCAGAAGGGCTTGTTTTGCCGCTTTATAGTAAATGACCGCAGGTGACCCCGAAATAGAACGCGGGTTCTATTCGAATTGCCCAGATCGAACACGATAGAACACAGTTCGGTTTCAATGGAATGTGGGAACTTTGCAGCCCTGATTTTGCCATCGTGACCTCTTGTAATACTGACCCATTTCTAATAACCGGTTAACGGGCGTGTTAAGATGTTAGAGACGTCGAATGGGCGTGTTAAGATGTTAGAGACGTCGAATGTATTCAAGTAGATATTGCTAACTTCTTCTCCTAGCCCAGTGCTCAACGTTACGAGGACACCATCTTGTTCCTGGTCAGATCGCCTGGATTCGATAACAAACGAAGGGATTTTCTACTGTTCTGCCTACAGGGAAATATAGTAACACAAATCTCGAAACGAAAAAGAATTGATTATTCGGGATGGAAGTAATTAAAAAGAAAAATTTGGTCGGGGTTTTCAGTTTTGCAAGGTATCTACAGTTTTGTAGTATAATGTTTTGTAGTACAAAGTATTATGCAGCCGAGGTATCCAAATTACAAGAAACAACTAACATAACTAAATTATTGTGAACAAAGAATTATGACTTTGATGTACAAAAGTATATGTACAACAAAAATTTGCAAAAAAAACTGCTGACATCTTGCCCTTGGTGCACAAGAGATAACCTATGTTTTTAGATATTGTGTACTATTGAAGTACACAAATATTAAGACAAGTAGAACCATTTACCATTCACAATTTCTTCTGCTCTCTTACATAATGTGATGGTCTGAAGACACTATTTCTAAGCTGAATAGCTACTAAAGCACTAAATATGTAAGTTAGGATAAGAGAAGATAGTTACAAGTATGTCATCACAGCAGAATCTAAGTAAAGCAAATCCTTTCTACCCTTGGTGTATGCAATGTTTAGGGGAAAGTTCTTCCCATAGCTCAACTCACCTCACCAGTCCCATAGCTGTCATTTGTCAGCCATAGGGGCAATGTGGCTTTCCATAGCTAGCAGGATATAAATTTCAACATATGCCAAACGTAATGCCATTATATCTCAAATCCCACCATGCAATGTAGAAGAGAGGAATCAAGTCGTCGGCAAGATAAGAACTGTAGAAGCTCAGTTTGGGTTGATTGACAGCACACGATGATCAAGGTGAAAAGAAGAAAAAAAATTGTGTATACGTGCACATTTAGAGAAGCTTTTTTGAGGCAAAGAAATCTTACATGTCAGAGTACGAAGATTTTCTCCATTCACCATACAAAATATAATCAGTATACTAGTACTGCTGAGAGTAAATTCATTTTGAGACAGAACTGATAGACGCTTATGACATTTGCAACGTTGACTACCTTCGGAATGCAACAGAATTTCTTTTTTTTTCAAAATCAGGCGAAAATCTATTCGCGCGATGAGCATCTATGTTGTTTGTTTTCTAAAGGAAATAAATCATTTACATTAATTATGGTTCGATCATGTGGTTTATTGTATAACCATGTACAATGTAACTGAAGGCATTGGACGCTAGGATATTGGGGTTTTCGTATACACAACCAGCGATTCGCCCTAGCTTGCCTTCCATTTCGATGTCTATCAGACACCTTCCTCAGAACTTTTTGACTAGAGTCCAGCTTTTTGCCATTATATGTAGCCGATGTAGGTGGCGCTTTTGCGGCGAAAACACAATCTCAATCGTGGCTGCATCTGTGTCTCTCCTCGTCCCGGTTCACCTTAGTGCCATCTACATGGGCTGAATATAGCGGAGAGAAGCCATAACCCAGTCAGAAGCACAGTTTCTGTAAGAAGAAAGGGAAGAGAAAATGCGTGAAAACAATATTTCAGTCTATACAATGTCTATACTAAAGACACACACACATATATATATATATATATATATATATATATATATATATATATATATATATATATATATATATATATATATATATATGAACCCAGTAACTCTGTATGAAACAGCCTCCCTTCACGCTTACATAGTGGCATGACGTTACCTGCACCTGATGATGTTATTTCTCATTCCACAGTAACCAGCGGCACCGGATGTGGAGGGAACCTGACGGCTCCTTCTGGAGGCCCTGTGACGTCACCCAACTATCCTGGTAACTATGGCAACGATGAGAACTGTGAGTGGTCGATCACTGTACTAGAAGGAAGCATCATTCGCCTCACGTTTGAAAGCTTCCACACTGGGAAGGATAGTGACTTTCTTACCATCTATGATGGAGCCAGTGATAATGCTACAGTGTTACAAAGGTATTTTCTAAACGTAATTTTTATTCTCAATTGGACCCTTCATTCCAAGTTGAAACTAGAGTTCACAATGGTCAAATTTGGGTCCCGATCTCCCCACCTGCTTTATAACCCGAAGCATGTCCGATCTGACGTAATTCGAACAGAACAGTGTTCGAAATGGGGTCACCCGCGGTCATGATCATTTACAGTAAACCTGGGTTTTCCGGCCCCTCTTTACATGAGTACCTTCTTACAGAAAAAAATCACCTTTTCACAAATATAAACCATTTCCTGGACAGTAAATGTCATTTTGTAGTCGACATGGAGCATGAAACGAAGCTACTCTCGTCATTGTGGGTGACCTTGGAGATCGCAATACTTGTACACACCAGCATAAATAAAGACTCCTTATATTCATGCCGTATGACTTGTGTCCAAAACTCGTTTAAGAATGGAAGCACGAATAGTCCAACATATCTCATTGACGGCTCAAATGACCGTAATGAGTTTGTCAAGAATTGTGTCTTAGGTAACGTTACTTTAAAAAAATGACCTTGATTTTGAATTAGTAGAGTTCGAAAAATGTACAAAAAAGTTTTTTTCACCTTTTTGTTGACAAACACTTTACTTATGATCAGAAATTTAAAAAAAAAATTCCTAAGACGAATTTTTGATCTTATTCCTAGTCTTCGAAAAATATAAAATCAGGTATTTTGGGTGGTATACGTAGGCTATCTTAAACGGAGTTTGCCTAAAAACATAACTCGGACTGGCGCTCCAAATCTCGTCTTTCGAAGCGAGATTTTAAAAGATCAATAATTTAACGTAAACAACTATCATTAAAGCTATGTCAAGACGATTTTTTCATTTTATTTTGACGGAATTTACCCTACAGTAAAATTAATTTATTACCTTCGCCAAGAAGGTTATGTTTTCAGGGGCGTTCGTGTATGTGTGTGTGTGTGTGTGTGTGTGTCTGTGTCTGTCAACACGATAACTTGAGAAGGGCATGATGGATTGTCTTAATACTTAGTAGGTAGGTAGGTCTTGATGAGACCTCAAAATGATTAGATTTTGGACCCCCTAGTGGCTTGTTATGGTACTGCAGCTGAACGTCCGGTTTTGATATCTCAAGATCCAGACATGCTATGGTAATGAAATTTGGATGGTAGGTAGCTCTTGTGCTGTGGAAGAAGTGACGTGAGTTTAGGCCCCCTAGCGACTTGCTCTAAAACTGCAGGGGGGTTTAAAGGACAAATGTTTAAAAGAGGATAACTCAAGTACCGATTGATGGATCATCGTGATTTTTGGTATGTAGGTAGCTTAAGTGATGCTTGACATAATGATATTACAATTATGCGAATGTTGATGTAATTTGCATAATTAATGAGGAAATTCTATAAATCAGCTGCATTCCATGATAGGAAGTTCAAGCTTGTAACATATGTTATTAAGAACGAGAGAAACACAGGCAAATATTGTTTATGCAAATGAAGACTTAATTTGCATAATTAATGAGAAAATGTTATAATTGCATAGTGGTAACTGCCTGGAATTTCATACTTGGGGTGTTTGAAAGCTAAGTGAAGGTGAACATAATTAAACATGACTTATTCAAATAAGGACCACATTTGCATAATTTATGAGAAAATGGCATTCTTTGTTAAGATAAGACTGTCTTTTGGTGGAGAATATGATCAACAGACTGATATAATTCATGCAATTGAGGATCCTATTTGCATAATCAGGGTGATTAGTATATTTCTTATTCATAAAGGCTAACATCATTTGGCGAAGGTATGAGATCGTGGAACTCTAGTTTTCAACTGTTTTACGGGTAGTCCAAAACATGCCAAAATTGCGTCATGTAACCCGATACCTTTTCAAACGCCCCTAGCAATGGGAAAGAATAGCGTATCAACAGACCGTCGTGGTTCCACGATCTCATACCTTCACCAAATGATGTTAATCTTTATGACTACGAAATTATAGATTACTCCCCCTGATTATGCAAAAGGATCCTCAGTTGCATGAATTATATGTTTTATCACATTCTAACACAAGAAGACGGTCTTATACGTAAAAAAGAATGCCACTATAACATTTCCTCATAAATTATGCAAATGGGGTCCTTATTGAATAAGTTGTGTTTAATGATGTTCACCTTCATCTAACTTTTAAATGCCCAAGTATTAAATTCCAGACAGTTACCACAATGGAATTATGGTCTTGGGCCGGAATTATTTTCACGATTTTGGATCCGGCGGACACCCTCAGACCGAAGGGCTACAACTCCACCAAGAAAAGTGCGCCGGGAAATCTCATTACATCAGTCAGCGGAGGTTTCCAGCCGGCTTCCGATACAATTTTGGTTATTGTCCGTCTACTCTATAATTTGAGTAGAAACTGTAGTTAAACGTATATTTTGGATACGAAAAATATAGTTTTTGCAGTTTTTTCAACGAACCTGCTTGAAAAAAAACAGCCTAACGGCTTATGTGCTGAAATAGCTTACTACCTCCTGCTTCTGAATAACAGGAAGTAGTAAAAAGACAAAAAAAACAAGTATTAAAAAAATAGGTTGTTGTGATAAGTGTTTCGCAAAATCCGGTGACGCGAATGCCTTAACCCTACCTAGACCGGGGGGGGGGGGCTAAAAGAGCCCGCAGCAACTTTCACATCATATAATTTCTTAACAACTTATCCTAGGACAACAAAACTTGGTGACTTTTCCTAAAATTCTGTTGGCTACAACATGGTACCAATTTTTTTTTTGTGTATCATGTTTTCTGTTGCCATGGCAACGGTTTTCTGAGGGGTATGTCATACCAAAAATCACTGATTTCAGCTTCATTAGTGTACTTGCCATACTTTCTAGTTAACATTCATTTACTACATTATATTAACATAACTTTATTAAAAACAATGTCAGCTTTTCTAATTATAATTAATTAATGCAAATTTGATAACGTCATTGCATCTAGGTGGCCCAAATCCAAGATGGCGGACCATATTTTTGATCCGTGCACATTTTACCTCAATTTCATGTATTCTTTCACTTTTTTTTGCTAAAAAGCATTTTCTACAGCCCCCAGATTTTGACATGGTCTTTTTGCTTTGTATTGCAATCCTTAGGCTTATGTAGTTGTACGGAGAAGTTGATAATAAAAGCAGAATCGGTTTTCTTTATGCTGGCCGGCAATTTCTTACAACTATGTTTACTTTCATTTCATTTTGACCTGAAATTTGGTGAAAAACTATTTACAACTTACCCCAAACCTGTAACAGGATGCGCAAACCTGTAACAGGATGCACAAACCTGTAACAGGGCGCGCAAAGGATTGTGGGTATTCAAAATGTGGGCGCCCATGTAGTACATGTAGGTCATGCATCATGTGGCAGTCTAAGCTTTCTTGAAAAGACAATGGCTTCACGGAGATCTACATACACGGCCAAAGAAGTACTTGAGCAGTTGTTTGATGACTCTGATGATGAGACAGACAACCTACACGAGCTGAATGGTACAGAATCTGATTCGGAAGGTGAGTCTGATGCTGGCGACACCGCTCCGTCAACGGCATCTACCGAGTTGCCAGATGATGATGATCCTGATTTGTCCACTGCAGCTCCTCTTGTAGATTCAGATGAAGATGATCATGACACCCAGGCCAATCTAAATAGAAGTTTCGAGCTAGCGTCTAAGAAGTCAAAGTTGTTGACACCAAAGAAGCTTGTGAAATATCTAGTGTCATGCCTTAAAGATAAGAACTTTGGCTGTCCCAGATCAGGAGAAAACTTTCTCGGCCTACTTGGAGAAGCCAAAACGGAAAAATGACCCAGGGAAAAAGATACAGAGGACGAACCAGCTGCCTCACCCAGGAGGTAGGCAGAACTCCGCGAACGTTATTAGAGGCGCTGTTGGAGTAAGGGGGGTAGCGAAGAGAGTGACAGATCCGGTGGGGTGCTGGCGTTTCTTTGTCACTGGGGAAATGGTGACAAAAATCGTGAACCATACCAACACAAGGATCAAACAAGTGAGAGAGAGAATGCAACCTGAGTAGCTTAATGATAGCCGTAACTGCTATATTGGTGAAACGTGTGTCCAGGAGATCACCGCTTTGATCGGCCTTGTGTACCTGAGAGGGGTGCTGTGCCAAAACAACTGTAAGACCGACACACTGTTCAACGACAAAACAGGGCACTCCGTGTTTAGCGCAACGATGGGGAAAAAACGATTCAAGTTCCTGATGGCCAACATTCGCTTTGACGATGAGGAGACAAGAGGGGAGAGGTGGCCATGAAACAGACAGGTTTGCAGCCTTCCGTGAGCTGTTTGAAATGTTCAATAAGCAGTGTGCCAATGAGACTCTCTATCCAATGAGAACGCAGGTGAGCTTCAAACAATTCAACCCGTCAAAACCAGCTAAGTATGGTTTGCTGTTCAAATCCATCAATGCTGCCAGATACCCTTACACATTCACTGTGGCACCGTACAGTGGTAGACCAGCTGCTGGAGCTGGGGGGTACTACGTGCAAGGGTGTGATGCAACAGTCAAGGCCCTAGTAGAGGGATTGGAGAGATCCGTCAACCTCAGAGGCAGAAACGTCTCGTTTGATCGGCTGTACACCTCCATTGCACTCTGTAGCTGGTTACTGGATCGAGGAATCACCTCCATCGGCACCCTAAACACCAACAGAAGGGGCATTCCGAATGAAATGAAGACGGTTGAGGGAAGGGAGGAGTTTTCGTACCAGGTGGTGTGGGAAGAAACGCAGAAGAAAATGGAAGCACTTGTTGTGCTTTTGTAAATCCGCTGCTCATAAAACATAATACAAATGTAAACATAAAGATGACATAAAGTATAGCATTAATGAAAGTGGCTGGCGCACCAATACCTAGCATAACATTATTGAGATTGGTGAAATCTTCCAGAGTGGTGGATATAGTTAAACACAATATCAAAGATACGGCAGTTGGTCGTGTATGGGAGGGAGGGGCTACCTGTAAGAAGTAAAGTACATAATGTGGCGTCGTTTACGTTGAGTGGGTCGGAAGGGAGTATGTTTTCAAGATGAAGGCAAGATATGGATAACATTTTGGTCCTTTCAGTATCATAACATTTGCAGTGTAATAAATAGTGTTCTGGTGTCTCATTTGGATGCCCACATTTGCACTCTGGACTACTGATACAGTGATGCTGGAATAAGTGGTAGTTCAGCTGGCTGAAACCAAGCCTGAGTCTGGTAAGGTGAGTTACATGGTGTCCGTGGCCGTGAGAGTAGTGAGGATGTCTGGGCATGCTATCAAAGCAAGACTCTAATTCATTTTTGAATGCACGAATGGATGGGGATTCTTTGGCGGTCTGGGGTAACTTGTTCAAAGAGAAAACAGCAGAAGGCAAGAAAGATTTTTGTACTTTTCAGTTTTGAGGGTAAAAGGGAGATAATTCTGGTCAGTATGCAGGCCATAAGGGGTAGAATCACGGATAAGTGGGGGAACCAAGTCTTGTAGATATTTGGGAACTAAGCCATTGGCCATTTTGTAGAAGTGGGCAAGTTTGAACTTTACGCGTCTGTTGGCAAGTGTTTCCCAACCGACGTCACATAGAATGCGGTGGTGATTCGTCCCTCTCATTGCGCCTGTGCAAGCCCGGGCAGCGGACACCTGGACTGACTCAAGGAGGTCTGAATCCTTCATAAGAACACCACACCAGGCAACATTGGCGTATTCAAGTTCAGGACGTATCATGGCTTTGTACAAGATTTCAAGCGTTTTCCGTGGCACAAAATTTGATATTCTTGTCAACAAGTTAAGTCGCTTCATTGCTTTCGTCACCAGAGTTGACACGTGGAGTGACCATGATAAATTTGGAGTGAGATGTAAGCCAAGGTGCTGGTGAGAGGGGGTTTCAGTCAGCTGAACACCTCTAAAGTATAGTGGTGGGTGAAGAACCTTTCTTCTTTTAGAGGAAAAAGTCATCAGTTCTGTTTTGCCGGGATTGAATGTTACAAGCCACTGGTCTGACCAGTCTGACACTACACTGAGATCATGATTCAGTCTGTTCGCTGAGACAACGGGATCCATGATTCTCTCTAACAGTGCGGTGTCATTAGCAAAAAGACGGGAATCTGTTCGTAGGTTGTCAACAAGGTCATTTATAAATACAAGAAAGAGCAATGGGCCGAGAGGTGGCCCTTGAGGAACACCTAGTACCTGCATCAATTGATAGCCATTCAGAGCACATCCCGTTTATAACAACTCGCTGTTTACGATCGCTCAGGTAGGATTCAATCCATAATAAGAGAGACCCAGTAACTCCTAGTTGACACAACTTAAAGATTAATCCCCCATGCCAAACCTTATCAAAAGCTTTAGATATGTCAAGAAAAACTGCACGGGTTTCGAGGCCTTGGTCAAGTGCTTGATGAATTTTGTGGACTAAATAGGTCAATGAATTAACGGTGGAATCTCCCAAGGCGAACCCGGCATTACGGTCAGTGAGAAGCTTGTTCCTGTGGAAGTATGAGGACAGTTGAACGGCTATCTGCAAGATCCACGTCTTCAGCCTTTGCAGCGAGTGTGCTAGCGTCAAGAAATAAAGCGACAAGAAAAGTAGTAAAAAGCTGTTTTATGCTTTAGTAGTAGATATCTTAGTGGTACTAGAAGTTGTTGTTGTCAATTGACATCTATTACGCTAACTGTAACAGTTAAAAACAAGACCAAAGTATCATACGTTTGCAGGAAGTTCTTGTGTTCCTCCAAAACGTGACCTCTTACCTGGATGGCATTGATGTTCTTGTTTTAGCAGTGCTGTTTCTGCTAAAAGACTTTTTCTCTGAACCCTGGACTCTTACAAGCATGTTAATGATAATCTTGTTGTGTCAGCACTGTTCCTGCTTTTGAATAAAAAGTTAAAATCAGTACATCATTGTGTCTCAGCCGTCATCTCTCAGATGCCTACTCAGCTAGGTTTTATTCAGAATTTAGGCTAATTAACTGGCATAATTGATCAAAATCCGGATTATTTGCCCTAAAAACTTCATGGGTACTTTGAATGTGGTCAAAACAAAGTTTGTATGGACGTTTTAGTCCGTTTACATGTTATTTTTGGGCTGTAGTTTGAACAAAAGGCGTTTTTGACAATTCAAGATGGCCGATCCAAGATGGCGGCTAAATTAGATATGTATGACGTCATTTCATGACGTCAATTTGGCATTTATATTGTTGCAATGGGCAACATAACTATAAGCAGACCTTACCATTCTATATCACACTTGTTTTGTTGAACTTTGGTTGTATATAGTCGATTTGTACCAGACTAACCAATTTACACGCCGTTTGCCAAGAAAATCACATAAATTACGTCATAATGACGTCATATTACGTCATAATGATATGAAAAATGTTGTTATGATTTATCATCATCCTCTGAAAATTTGGTATCCATACGACATACCGTTCTCGAGATCTGAGGGGGGGGCAAAAGAGCCCCCTCCCCGTCCCAGGAAGCTTAAAAAAGCCTGGTCTAGATAGGGTTAAAATTACAATTAAAACGCAGCTTTTTTGGGTCATCAGGCGACAAACCGCATCACCCTTGCTCGTGGACTGATACCAAAAACGCTTTGCTGGCCATCCAACTTCACCACGCGAAAAAACAACGATCGCCACGCTATGGGGAGCCAAACCTGGAGTGACAACCTCGCAGATCCGGCGATTTACTGCGCACTATTTGGATCCCTGGTCAGATTTAAACTCCAACCCGGAACCTTATTACATTTCCTCATCAAGTATGCAAATTAAGTCTTCATTTGCATAATCGATTCCTGCTTTTGTTTCTCTCGTTCTTAACTACATATGTCACAAGCTTGAATAGTTCTATAATGGAATGCAGCAGATTTATAGAATTTCCTCATTAATTATGAAAATTACATCCACCTTTGCATAATTGTTCTTGAGTTATCCTCCTTTAAATATTTGAACAAACACCCCTGCAGTTCCAGAGCAAGCAGCTAGGGGGCTCAAGCTTATGTCAATCCATCCCCATTACAAGAGCTATATCATTGCATATTTTACCATGTAAATTTCGTGACCCTAGGTCTATGTCACGAGAAGAACCAAAAGTTCTGCTGCAGTACCATAACAAGGCACCAGGGGGCCCAAAATCTGATCATTTTGTGGTCTCGTCATTTTGAGGTCTTGAGTTATCGTATTCACGAACAGACACACACACACACACACACACACACACACACACACACACGACCCCGCTGATGATGATCAGTCATAGTACGACATTAAAGTTGCCACTCAAAATAATTTATTCGATTATATAACGGGGGAAAGAGCATCCCCCAACTACTAGAAATTTCACAATAGGTAGTGCCGCGTCAGATCATGATTCTTTATTCCCCTTGTCATGTCTAGGTTATCAGGTTACCATCCGCAGATCATCCCCATCATCAGCACATCTAACACGATGTACTTGAGGTTTACATCTAACTTCTTAGGATCAAGTCATGGGTTCCACTTCTTCTACACAAGTAATTTGATTATACTTCTCATTGTAACCATGAATTATTATTGATAATCATTATTATGGAATGAAGACTAAGCTTTAACTTCCAACACTTAGATTACGGAATTGGGATTTACCCAAATTTTCGGTTGACTCCATCAACATTGTTCATGAAATGGATGCGTCTACTCTTGGAACGTGACGTCATAGACACGTGACTGTAGCAAAGGAAAACAGGTACTGAGTAGTGCATCACATCAAGTGCCAAGGTCAAACCAGGAAGGGTCCGTGTAAGGAGACATACATAGGTGCGACAGAACGTGCATTAAAAACGAGATTCCTGGAATATCAACGTCCTATAGGCCTAGTTCTGTAAACTCAGAGGTCTCTCTCAACATATTCACATTGAATCTCCGGAACACTCAGTATCTCTGGAAGGGGTTCAAATCCTCGATTCTGAATCGGAATTCTTTGCAAGAGGAGTGAAGGAGGCGGTCTGCATAAGAACTTACAGACCTACCTTGAACAGAGACGGGGGGCGACACAATTTATCTTTCACGTATGACCCGCTACTACGGTCACGTGTCTATGATGTCACGTTCCAAGAGTAGACGGGTCCATTCCATGAACAAGGTTGATGGAGTCAACCGAAAACTTGGGGTAAGTCCCATTTCAGTAATCTAAGTGTTGGAAGTTAAAGCATAGTCTTTATTTTATAATGAGACCATGTTGATTTGATTATATGGATGACATCCTCCGGGAACCCCAAAATTGATGCGCGCGTGCGAATAAAAAAAAAGTTGTTTTCATTATGAAATCTACGTGGTCATGAGGGTTGAACAAATGGGACAGAATATGGTTTGGCGAATAATCTACTTCATTTCTTTACAATTTCGTCTTTTTTCGTTTCATTTTGGCATTCTACGACATTTGTATGGTTTTTTTGTAACTTACGGTATATTTTTGCTCATTTTGCAACTGTTTTGTACAATTTACACTTTTTTTTTGAAACGGCCGAAAATTCATGCGCGCGCGGATGTCATCCATATAATCAAATCAACATGGTCTGACTTGTACCAACAAAGATGAACTTTCATTCTGAGATCATCATTATTATTGTAGTTGACATTATATTTGCAGTAAGAACATTTCTTAGCCTGAGAAAAATGTACCTGTTCGCGGAACTATTTGCTTGCGATATCGACAGGTGCAGAATAAAGAAAGTCGGCGAATTATTTGTACCGTGAACAAAACGCGATTCACAGTACTTTGTACAACAGTACTGTTTAATGTATCATATTTCATACTCCATCTCCAGGCGTTGCTTAAAGGATGTACACGTTTAGATTTGCATAATTTTCTTTCAGGCAGAACTGCAGGTCAATGCTGGGATCCTGGTGTGCCGGCCAATGGGAACAGGGATATCAACAGTAACTTTACATCAGGACAGACAGTCAGGTACACCTGTATGGACGGGTATCAGCTGTGGGGGACTGCTAATATAACCTGCCAGCCGAACGGGACTTGGAGTGGCTCTACACCAACCTGTGAAGGTAACCACGGGATCATGTATGTGTAGACACATGCATGTGTCTGTACGTGCACTGTCCGGTCAGTGACTTAGGGCGTTGAACGGGTAAACCCAGATTTACTTAAAGGCATCCAGTTTAGTTTGTAGGGCTTGGAAACCATTTTTTTCAAAATCAATATTCTGGTCACTTGTCTAGATATTAAGTTTAAACAACACTGCCCCAGTGTATATTGACCCTCATGGACCAAAAATTCCCCAAATTCTGTCAAAAAATACAGTTACTGAAAGAACTGTGTTGATTTTTTAGCATACCACCCAGAAAAAAAGGTCTGATCGCGGGGCTTGTTTCTGCAGTTTTAATTGCCTAAAGTATGAAATACCTCCAATGTGCTTCATCAAATTTGCTAATATGGGACATTATGTGTCAAAATAATACAGCATATCTCGAGTTTTGTCGCCCTGAAATTGCATTCAATGCCTTAAAACTAAGATACTTTTCTCTCTTCATGACGGCTTCTTTGTTTTCGTCTCGTAGTAGTTTCGGATCCATGGGCCATGGCAGGCCATTCTCCTGAAATTCCACAATACATTGTGACCGCCTGTACAGACAGGGGGCTGGTTTTTTCTATGCTTTTAAAGCTTGTTCTAGTAAAATCGCCCATTTCTTTCAACTAACGTTAACTACCAGACCAAAGTCTACCACTGACTACTGTTGACAGAGGCCTGACCAAGGCAGTGACCAATTTAAAGGGCAACAATCAGCTCTGTATTCCGATGGCAAGTTCCAATAGATATAAAACAGCCCCATTCCATACTTCACTGCACTTCTGAACAACGTCAGGTAACCTATCAGTGTGTGGTAATTTTTATTATGATTATTGTCTAATTATTTTAATTATTTTGCAATGTATAGTAGTTTCTATAGATTTTATCAAGTGTTTTATTCATTTCTTGTAACTGCCTAATATGCATAATTCAGCGACTTGTACTATGTACAAGTCGCTGCAAGTAGTACAAGTCGCTGCAATGTATTTTATTGTATTGCTTTCAATTGAAACAATAAACCAATTATATAATATAAGATACTCTTTAACCCTACCTAGACCGGGCTTTTTTTGACATGGGGGGGCGGGGGGGGGCGTCTTTTGATCCCCCCCTAAGAACTCGCGAACGGTATGTCGTATGACCACCAAATTTTTAGAGAATGGTGTACTAGTGAAAATTTATCATATCTACAATTTTTATGTCGTTATGACGTAATAAGACGTCATTATGACGTCATTAATGTGATTTTATTGGCCAAAACCGTCTAAATAGGTTTTTTCCCTGAAAACTAAATGGTATTCAACATAACTGTACCGAAAGTGTTTATGACAAAATATTATGGTGTACTGTCTTATGTTGGCCATAGCAACACCGGTGACGTCATAAAATGACGTCATGCATATTTAAGATATCCGCCATCTTGGATCATCAATTTTGAATGTTCAAAAATAGTTTTTTTTTCATGATAAAGCCTAAAATACATTGTAAACATATTAAAGACCTTCATTTAAACCTTTTTTGGAAAAAGAACTGGAAGTATTGATGAAATTTTAATGAAAATAACCTGTATATACCTCTTCTAATGATATGGTCCGCCATCTTGGATTTTGGCCAATGACGTCATCAAATTAGCATAAATTATGCATATATAATGATAAAATTTACATAAAATTATATGGGATGTTATTAATATTAGAAACCATAAGTAACTTGACATAAAACCCTTAAAATTCTATTGTTGAAACAAAAAGTACTAAATTTAGCAAAAAATGCCTGTCAGAAACCCGTTGCCATGGCAACACAAAAAATTATTATCTTATTCCAATGATGGGGAATTGTTGCCAACAATATTCTAGTAAAAGTCACCAAGTTTGGCCGTTCAGACGCTAGGTGACATCAAAGTTGCCGCTGGCACTTTTAGCCCCCCCCCCGGTCTAGGTAGGGTTAAGACGATTTTAGTATACCCTGAAACAGAAAATTATAGTATACCTGGTTATAATAGCATACACCACTGCAGAAAGAATAGATCTGGAGGGGGGGGGGGTCACTATACATAAGAAACGACGTATATTATCAAGAAAGACCTGGCCTTAAATTTGTTATCGACGACACAGGCACAAAGAGTATATTCATTGAGTTCATTTAAGTAACCCGAAGGGGAAAAAACAGTATTGAGCTGTGTGTATCGCCCAACAAATACTGACATTACAAAATTCAATGAGCGCCAAAATGAATCTGTGAACAGTATTAATAGGGAAAGAACAACTTGTTACATTATTGGTGATTTCAATATTAATCGGTTAAACAACACTAACCAAACCACTACTGATCATGTAAATGAACTGTCCTCATCTGGCTTTTACCCACTTATATGCAAACCTACCAGAATTAAACCCTACTCTGCTACCTTGATAGGCAACATTTATCCAAACTCTGTTAGCAACAATATTAAAGTTGGCATCCTCATCACTGACATATCAGATCACTTTCCAATATTCCTTACATCCGATTTAAACGAGCCAGTCAGGCAGACAGACAAAATATCTTATCGTCAAGTTAACACAACTAACATTCAGAAATTTACACAATCTTTATCAGAAATAGTATGGGGCGACATATTAAACGAAACAAAAACAGAACAAGCTTATAATCAATTTTTTTAAACATACGGATTGTTATAAGAAAAATGTTTCCCAAAGAAAATTACAAAAATCTCCCAGCATTCTCGCAGAAAACCCTGGCTAAGCAGTGGATTGTTAAAGTCAATACGCAGAAAAAACAAGCTCTTTGCTAAATATGCCAAGAAGCCGAGACCCTTAAACCAAAGTATCTATCAAAAATACCGGGATAAGTTAAATCATCTCCTCTAAAAACTACAAAGAAGGAATATTACCACAGAAAGTTTAATGAAGCCACCAGTAATATAAAACAAACATGGCACCCGATAAATGACGTTTCAAATCATAATAGAAGTAAAACAGCTGGTCCAAACAAAATACGAATTGGTTCCAATTAATTACAGAAAATAAACATAAAATATGTAACGAAGTAAATGATTTTTTCATTAATATTGGACCTACACTTGAAAGGAATACAAGACCCTCTTAGCTACATCACCTTACAAGTAAATTCTAACCTATCAACTTTTATACCACCAACGGGTGCTGAAATTACAGATATTATCAAAAACTTAAAAGACTCAGCTGCTGGTCATGACGAAATAAGCCCTAAAGTACTAAAGTTGTCACTGCCCTATGTTTTTTCCCCTCTAACGCATATTCTATCTCTATCCTTGCAAAATGGAGTTGTTCCTCACTCACTAAAAGTCGCAAAAGTGACGCCTATTTTTAAAAGCAGTGATCCGCTTAACGTTAATAACTAGCGACCCATATCATTGTTATCTTTATAGTTTTACCGTTTTAGCGTTAGAATTTTTTTCCTATTAAGTG